CGACGGCTTTCAACCTCTTTTTCTTCGTCAACCATTATCCTCTTTTTCCCGGTCTCCGGACTGCTTCCGGACAATAAATCTCGTGGCAAACTCCGCCTACTTCGGTGCGTGCCCCGCCCACCAATAGCATTTGGCCCCCTTCCTTTCGCCGACCTCTACCCCTTTTTTCACCGGTCTCTGGGACCTCTTGGAACCAAATTACGACACTTTTGGCAAACTCCGCCCACTTAGGTGCGTGCTCCGCCCACTAATAGCAGTTGACCTCTAACCCCCTTTTCCCCTATCTCTAGGACTTCTTGGAGCCGAGTTATGAATTTTCGTCGCAAACTCCGCCCACTTTGGTCAAGCCACCATTGACAGCTGGCCTCCACTCCTCCACCCACCTCTATCCACCTTTTTCCGGCTCTTTAAGACTTCCCCGGCCCGAATTATGAGGACTTGTAGAAAATGCTGTACACTTCAGAGCGCGCCCCGCCCATTCTGGGCGGGCCTCCGCCCACGTCATGTATGCAGGAAACACCTTAGACATTGCTCCCTACACCAAATTGTTTTCTGCTCTGTAGGCTTTCTCCCAACCGAGTTATGAGTTATTTCATGACAGACATACAGACGACAGACGACAGACAGACGACAGAAGAAGCGCTTTTATAGTAAGTAGGATGCTCATTTCAATTGGCCGGGTTGACTAAATGACTTTTCGTGGTTTGCATGCGTCACGGGATCGAGCCTTACTTCATGTTTTTAGTAGGGATCAGCGATTTGGGAAGTTTTGTTAATTCTTCTACTGTGAACTCGAAGCGAACCTCAGGGCACCAAGAGTAAAATGGAAACCTAGAACTTTTGCAGGGATTACTTTGAACAGAATGTTACTGAACGAAATTTTTATTTCGAATGGAAGTTCTTTCATCTTCTATTGTTCTGAGGCGTTTTCGTAGCATTCACCTTCGAATTAGAAGTAGGAGCTGTTGAGGTATGAAGGACCGTGGTGATTTCTAATATCTTTACTGAAGAGACTTCCGGCGAGAGCTCTCGAAGAGTCTGGGCGATATATTGACCTAAAAAGATTGCTTATCAATGAACTGATTCTATACAATTCGATGTGCCAGTAATATAGCGAGTGCCATCTGCTAATATCTGCTACCGTTCTGAGAATTAGTTGATTGGGGCAGATTAGGTATGAAAGGTGGCTAAAAGACTGTATTCTCCTCCGCTTCGCTATAATGCATTGCAAACGAAAAATCGCGGATTGGGAAACTGTGTCACATTCAGGAAAGGGGATCGCTAGGTCAAGCATGGTGTGAGAAGAGTTACAGTTATACGAGGTCATAGTTGGTTTACACGCCTCTTTCCATACCTATAGTCTACACAGACTGGTTTGATATGAGTCTCATTGAGGTACGACTGCAAATCAATTGTCAGTGTCAAGCAAAGATATCCTCTAACAAGGGAGGTTTTTCCGGGTAAGCCACGCTTTTACAAAAAGGTTTCTTGCATACTGTAGAGGCGCATGTAGGGAGCAAAACAACCATGTTTCATTTTCGCTGAACGGTTTTAGCAGTACCAAAAAAGAAACATAAGGTACTGTTAATGGGTTCGATCCCCCGTGGCGACTAAATTTTGCATTTGGGTTGGCGCCTACGGTTTGGTGCAAATCGCGCTAAATATCAAAATCAGATGTCAAATTCATCGTCAGGACCATTTTGAAGCCAACAAGTGGCCGCCAACTTGATTGCAAAATTTAGTCGCCGCGGGGGATCGAACCATCAAGGGTATCATTCACCACTTTTTTGGTACTACTAAAACCGTTCAGCGAAAACGAAACATGGTTTTGTGGTCCATACATGCGTCCCTACAATATGCAAGAAACCGTTTCCAAAAAGCGCGGCTTGCCCTGAAAGACCCCCTTGTAAGCGATTCCAATGCTTGCCAGTTGCCGATGCTAGAAATTGGTGACAGGCTTTGTAGTAGCACCAAGGTCTGCCTTACTTTTCACCGCGGTCCAGGAAGTTAGCTGCAGATTAGCTATTTGTGAGTAACTACTGTCACAAGATAGCTCTATGAGTTCGCGATTTCTTACCTAAAATGTCGAAACGATCCGGCATATTCTCCTGTCGTTCTGTGCCTGCAGGACCATTACTCCGTTTTACTTTGCGATCTGTAAAGCGGAGAAGGTAGTAGCGTTATTATAACTTTTGTAGAGAGAGCTCCCACGGGATTTTTATACTAATCGCTCAAGATAATTCATACCCTTCAGGGCGGTAATTCGTCTCTGTGAAAACCGCAAACCTGTCAACAGTCTTACGCAGACCGCCTCTCTCAAAGCAAACCAATGTGAACTCCTCTGACGTCCCCCCCCCCATGTGACATGTCATCTTCGACCAATGTCAAGATTTCGACTGACGCGTGATCTTGTCAGAATGGTAGTACGAAGTGACGATGAGCTCATTGGTTGTGTAGGTACTGGGGAGACATTGAAGGATGATTCCACGATAAGGTCGAAAATCGACGAAAAGGAAGACATTGGTAAGACAGGCGGACCCCTTAAGGTGCGGACCGACACGCAATTCACAGCGAAAGGTTGCCCCGGCGAGCTAGCATGGCCCTCCCCGCGGCGCTATCAGCAAGGCACGCCCACTCGCTATCTGAACCACTAGCCGTTTAGCAGAGAGAGCGTTATGTTGAAGAGGGCAGCACCGATGAGAGCCGCATCAATGCGGAAATCAACGGGCAAGGAAGGGGTCCCATTTCTCGGGTTCTGGGCCGTTTTTCATGGTTTTTTCTTTATATCTGCGCCACCAACCATCTCTACGTTGCTTTTCAATGGGCTGTATTTTCATCGTTAAATCCGCCTTTGATTTCTTCCGACAGGTCAGGTCATAAAGCTGCGCGAACATTGAAGCCAAGATTAGGCCTACGCTCACGCTCACACATTGGCTTGTGCTTGAGCCTAAATTTAGGCTGTTCCTGGTCTTTCAGTCTCGTTATGTTATGTGCAAATCAGAGGTGACTTCATCTGACCCCAAAAATCGATATACATCTCAAAAGAGGTACTAAAATTGTTCATCTCATCCACTGGCCTGCACGCAGTTGATCCTTTTTAGCGGTGATACTTCTTCGAAGAGAGTTTTGTCGACGTCCATAAGTCGTGGTATTATTACAGGACGGAGATGCAATAGAAACACTACTGGAATCTGTGAATCCGTCTTCGGTGGTCACGCTTCCTTCTTTGTCGAAGTGCTTCCCCTTGACATCTTGTGCAGGTTCTTCCTCATCAGGTTCTGTGACAGAGCTGCATGTTCTGAATGTGGACAAGAATAGTTCTAGCTTCTTTATTGCCCAATGACGAC